CCTCCCCGGGCTCGGTTCCTTGTCCTTTGAATCGGTTGGTTCCGTCCTGTAGGTGGATGCTTCCCCCTCTCTTGTGACGGTGTCTTCGTCATGTTTCCCCGTTCTTGGGGTTCTACGTGACTTTTGGTCTCGGGTGCGACTGTGCCTTTGTGTGCCTTCGGGACTGGTGTTTGCTTCTGTGTTCTCGAAGGTTCGGGAAGGTTTTCGCTACTTCCCGTATTATTGGAACGTCTGTCGGCTCCTAGTACGGGTCGCCATCTTGGGCTACTTGTAGCCCAGTTGGGCTACTCGTGGCCCGGTTGGGTTCCCTTTGGGCTACTTGTCTTCGCTTAGTTGGCTGATTTTGTTGTCGCTGCTTTCTCTTTTGGCTCCTTTCCCGTGTGATGGGTTGTTTTTTCTACTTCGCCAAAACTTTTTTCTTTTCTAATTTTCTACTACAACCCGGTTCCCTAGGGTTGTGTTCTGTTTGGCTACTTTTCATATGCAGTAGTCCTAGTTGCCGCCTTCCCGCAGAGCGGGTTGTGCGGTTCGGCCAGCGTGTCTTGCGCATGCTCCGTGGGAGTTTGTTTTGGTCTGGGTGGTGTGTTTCAGTGCTGGTGTTTTGTGCCCATTTTCTTGGGTGCTTCACCTCTCGCTCTTCTCCCTTCTCCGGTATGTGTCCCTTCGCTCTGGGGTGTCCTGGATTCCAGCTGTGGGGAGGACGCGAGGTTTTCCCTGTGTCATGGGTGTGGGCCTCCTCCTTCGCCTCTACCCTGCTCTCCTGCGTGTCTGGCTCTGGCTTCTTCACCTGGCAGTGCTCCCAGGATCTTCTGGGCACTGTTGGGTCGTGTCATGTTCGTGCCTCCGTTCAACAGGCGAGTTTCTGCAGTCTGGTGTCTTTCGGCCGGGCGCTGGATGCGAAGATGTTTATATACTGTACCTGTTTTTATTTAGGTATATTTATGTACGAATGAGACTGTTAGCACACCGGTGACCGTCCCTTTTCAACCCTTCCAGTCCCACTCATGTGCATGTCCAACCTATGCTAGAGTCATTCAGGGGACCCACCTCTTTCGTGTTGTGTGTGGGGGGTGTGGTGCTGGTTATGTACTCTCCAGGTAGGGCTCTCCTGGTTGTGCTTGCGGGGTTTGAGCTCTGGCTCTTGGGTCCAGCCTATGTGGAAGAACATGCGGGATAGTACCAGTGGCGTGCAGTGTGCCTTAGGCACAATGGGGGAACACTGTATAAACATCAGAGGTTTGCGGTTGTTCAACGTCCTACCTGTGATTATACGTCATATTGACAGTACATCCGTGGACTTCCAAGGAACAGTAGCCTGTTTTCGAATAGAGGTTCCAGCCCATCCTGGCTGTGGTGGGTATGTGTTCCTGCAGGCCGCTCCGAGCAAGAGCCTGGTGGACCAACCTCTCACAAGTCAAGCCTAGCCTCGGGCTGGCTTGGGAAGAAAATGATCTCCCGGAACCCCATCCAGGAGGTATCGAGCAGGTATCTCTGCCGTCGGTCGCCTGGTGTGCAGGTTCCTGGGCATGCTGGGCTCTGTTGTCTCCGTTGGCCCTGTCTGGGGTCTGCCTGCACCGTTCTCTGCCTTAGCAGAGGCCAGTTGCTTCTTACATGTTGCGTGTTGCGGTGCTGCATGTTGCTGCTGCACGTGTGCATTGATAACGTGTTTCATGGTGGCGTGTCCTTGTTCCTGTGTCCGGTTGTGGTGTGGCACTTTGCTGCTGTTTTGTGTCTAGGGTTTGCGTATGGGGGTTTGCTTGTTGTTTTTCGTGGTCTTCGGGTCCTTGGCTTGGCCCTTCCATGTGCGTGAGGTTCTGTCCCCGCCTGATTGTCCACCCCTGGTTGTTTCCTGGGGTTTGAGTTTTGGCCTTTATGTTCTGCCTCTCCCCAGTCGCTTCCCTGGAACCTCCTATGGTCGGTTTTGCCTGCATTTGCTGCTGTAGGGGGGGGGGTATCGGTTTCTACCGCTTCCCTTCCTTGTGTGTTCCCTTTGTTTCCTCCTCTGCCGCAGGGGCGTTTTTCGTGCGTTCCTTGGCTTCTTGGGCGTTTTTCCAGCCTGTGTCCTATGGTGCGCTTATGTGTCTTGGTCTGTTTTCGTTGCTCATACCCCTTGGTTCGGGTACTGTTCTGGTGGTAACCCCTACGCCTTCTTCAGTTTTCCTGGCTTGCCCTGCTGGTTGGCTTTTCGGGGTCTTGCGATGTCTCGCGTAGGACATCGTGAGACATTTGATCTGATCTCCTGGCGGGCTTGCTTGCATTGGGGAGCTTTCTGTTCGGCAGACGTTCCATCTCCTTTGTGCTGCCTGGGCTTTGGTGGTCGCGCCCGAGATCATCCCGTGACTCCAGGGCCGATTCTTTTCTGCCTCGCGTGTCTCGCCTCCGGTTGGTGGTCTGGTAGCTTCTTTGTAGGTGTCCCACCTGCGTACTTCTTCTTTGGGGCAGTAAGGGGTATTTTGGCGGTTCTTTCTTTTCCTCTTGTCCCTTCTTAGGTGGCTGCAGTTGTTAGCGTCGGCTTGGTTTTTCTGGTGGGGGTTGGGGGCCGTCGTCTTGCCACGTACTGTCATGCCAGTACGACAGTACTGCCCTGTCGTAGCTCAGTCGATTAAGGCAGTGTCTGGGATGCTCCCGGACGCAGGTTCGAATCCTCGTCACGGCCCTTGTGGATTTGTTCATTTGATGCATCACGTTAGTGTGATCTCTGTATGCGACTGTCGCCTTGTTTCGTGCGGCGCTGGAGGAGCTGCTTTGGCTTGCTTTCGGTCTTGGTGTTGCTTCTGCACCGTTAGTAAGCTGTCTCATGCGTTGTTTCACCTCCAGCCTGTTCATGTGACGCTTGCACCGTCCTGGTCTCTGGTCAGCGTGCTCGGTCTTCTCCTCGGTTGGTGGTGCCGCTTCGGTTCCGGTTTGTTTTTCGTCGGCTCTTTTACCTGTTGGCATTTGCCTCTGGGGGTCGGGTCACTGGGCTTCTTGCTCCTCCGCAGGGGTTTTCTGCTCCTTCAGTTTTGGCGTTTTTGGTTGTTCGGTGGCAGCAGTCTCCATCTTTTCTGGCACGGGATGGGGCTGCTGCGTTCCAGAGGGGTCCTTGGGTTGTTGGTGCTTGGTTGGTCGGACCGGGAGTGTGTCGTGTTTTGTGTTCAGTGGCGGCCTTCTATAGGCCATTACTCCCCTTGCCTATCTGAGGGGGACCAGGTTCTGGCCGTGGTCCCCGGTAGGCCCTAGAACTCCATACACATGACTAATGCCAAAGTCTGACATTAGCATATCAGCCTGGTAAAGCTCCGGGGAGCCTCTGGGTCTCACCCAGAAAATGGCGTTTCATTACATTCAACACTGTTTTTTATTTTTTTTAGTTTCCCATGATCAAAGACTGTATTTTAACAATATAAGAAGAGAGAATAATTTTTTGGAAAGAATTTATTTTCTGCACACCACGGGTTTGTCATATTTTAATGCAGAGCAGTGCAGTGCAGTGGTCTTGTTCCATACGTCTTGGTCTTGTTCCATACGTCTTGGGGAGCTAATTGGTGCATGCTCCTCTCTCTATATTCCTCTCTCGTGCTGTCTAAACTCGATTATGGTTGTCTTGCTTACTCGTCTGCCTCTCCTACTCTTATCCCTCTTGATGCACTCCACCTTGCTGAGTTATGCCTCAGCTCTGGTACCTTTCGTTTGACTCCTACCACAAGCTGTATGTTAAAACTGGCATCCTGTCTCTACAGGATTGCTGTGATCACTACTGTCTTTGCAACCTTGCGTGGTCCCTACAATGCCCTCACTCTTGCTTATACAGTATTGTACTTTTTCCTTTACCCCTCCTGTGGTCAGTGTTCCTTTTCATCACCTACCTTTTTCTGTATGGTTGTCACACTTGCAAGGTTCTCTTTCGGTTCGTATTAACAATATTTCTCCTCGTTTCGTTCCATCCTTGCCTCTATGGAGGGTCCCCCTTCGTAAGTTTTGTAAAACCTTGGCCCACATGACTAAAGCTTTTACCCTTCCTAAAGTTCTGAAATGCTTTTTCCTTGCACACTTTTTTTCACACTCCCACTCCATATCCATCTTCACAGATAGGTTCTGGTCTGCAAATGGGAACTACTCTGTTGTATTTTGTGACCACACGTATATGTGTCGCCTGCCTCCAGAGACCAGCATGGCAGAACTTTATGCTATTTTATATGCTCCTAGTCAACTGCTTTCTCGCTGTCAGTCTTCCTTTGCTGCTGTAGTTGACTCTCACAGTGCCCTTATGGCTCTGGAGTTTTTCATTCCAGTTCATTCTGTGGTAGTCAAAATTTAACATTGGCTATTTCTTATCTCGCACAGATTTAAGACAATGGAATTTTGCTGGGTTTCCAGCCATATTGCACCTCCCTGCTCCTTATTGTCTAAACTGTATTGTGCTTCTTATGGTTGTGCATATTCTCGTTGTCTTGCTTTCCGCCTGTCCCTCGCGGTCACTTGTCATTTGATAGAATTCTTGGTGAATCAGATACCTTTGATATTGTACACCTTGTGTGTTTTTTGTTTTCGTGATATTTAGTGCCTTTTGAACATCCTGCACATTTGATGGTGTTACATACTCACTCCTGGCTAGGTGTTTTTTTTTTATAATTACTAACTTGCCAAGTGATGCTCCATGCACTTATTTTGTCCAGATCTTCTTGTAGGACCAAAAACAATCATCAAAGTCTCTTATCTTCCCTAGTGTGGAGCTATCTCAGTGTGTTTACCAACAAAGAGCCACTGTTTGGCCCTTCCAGAAAGGGTAAATTTGGAGAAATTTGAATTTCCAGCAAATCCAGATTGGATCCCGAATGATCTACTGTAATGTGGATATTTAAGATTCTCCTGTACTTTAATTATAAGATGAGTTGGATGCTATGACTTGTGTTACACATAAGATTTTGTTAAAAAAGTAGACAAGCTGTGCAAATTGGTTCAAGAATGCAGGCATTCATCTCTGCAGTTTCTTATGCAAGTTATTTATTCATTTTTTACAGTTAGCTGCTGTGAAAGGCATATCACAAGTGGTTTTCTCTCGGATCTTCATGGCTGCTCCAGGAATGACACTCCTTCCAGTTATAATGGAAAAGCTGGAGAAGCAAGCTTGGCTACGAAAAAATCCTCGATTAAATGCACCATTCCAAGTTCTTGCTTGTGGAGTGAGCCTTACATTCATGACACCTGCTGCATGTGCACTTTTCAATCAGAAATGGTAAGTCTTTAACGGTGTGTTTCAGGGGGAAACCCCCTTCAGGCTCCATGAAGCTTCTATCAATGATTCAGTGCCATACTACTAGGTGCTATCAGTCGCTGAGCAATATTGGCCTACCGGGGACCATGAATCAAAACCTGGTTTCCTCCCTCAGAGAGGTGCAGGGAACAATGGCCTATGAACATGTAGTGTAAGTTGACGATTACATATTTGGTTGATTAGACATAGAAAGTTTAGAGGTTTTTTATATTTAGTATTGGTTACAACAGTCGGTTTATTGGCAATGTAGTGAAGTGTTGTGGTAGTTGAGACTAAGCCTGGAGCAGGGCAGAGAGCCGAATGAGGCCAGGGGTGGAGAGCTCGGATGTGGAATGAGTGCGTAGAGCGTGGGGCTCTGAATGTGGGCAGAGTCAAGGAACTCGAGTGAGGGACGAGAGCGTGGAAGCTCAATTCAGCCGGAGTCTGGCTGTCTTCTCCGTGTCGAGGCTGAAGCAACTTGTGAGGGGTAGAAATTGGACACATCGAGTATTAAATTATTGTTGATGAATGTTGAGGATCTAGCATGTTGGCATGAGGTATTGACTGTAATTAGTTGTTCAATTAGGAATTGTAGATAGTGGCCCAAGAATCAGTGTAGGACTTCTAGGAATGTGTGACACTTAGAGATAGGTTGCATAGAATTGACACCCATCTCATTATCTGCACATAAGCTAATGAGAGTTTGGAGTAAGTATATTATATAGTTAATATATTTGCTACAAACACTTTACATTTAAAATTAATTCACACACAGAAAATCACACTAACATGATATACAGTACATCAATGAGAAAATCCACCAGGGCTGTAAGACGATGCAAACCCACAACCAAGGCAGTGCCAGCCGCATACTGTATGCATACTGTGTGTAGCTGGCAATTCCTCTGTAGCGGATTTGCATTGCCTCACAGCCCCAGTGGATTTTCGCTTTAAAATTAATCATAATTCCTAACACCAGGGAAGCACCCAGAAAGTTAAATGAAACAAAATAGACTACTGCATGGTTAAAATGAGACTGCAACCTCAAAAAAAAACATAAAAAAATTAACTAGTTTGGCCCCCCTTCCCCTTCATTTGGGGGGAGGAGGGAGGCAGGCTTGGTTAGCTGGCCCATCCCACTGTCAATTCTACTGACAGTGCCTGGTCGCTATTGTGTCGCTCTGACTCCACTCTCCTGTTTTGAGTGGTGTTTTGACTTTGAGGCTGTTCCTATATGCCAGTTGTAGCATGAGCCAGGAGTTTAGTGTACTTCAAGTTGCATGTGCTCAGGGTTATCATCTCTGTGGACTCATTAAGTGCTACCTATGCATTGTCAGGGTTATCTTCTCTGGGGAGTTCAGGACACACTCCCTTTAGGGGCCTCTCCTTCCTTGGGTTGGTCCTCACTCTTTAGGTAGGCTAGTGTCTGAGGTTGACTGTGTTCTTTCGGGATGGGAGTGTATTTGGCTGGTGGGGTACACTAGTGTTCACATGATCAGTTATTCTATTAATTAACACATAGGCACACCGACGGTTCTTCCTGGTTGCTCGTTTACTGCAGTTTGGTCTTGGGACTTGGGAGTTTTCTTCTTCTTCTTGTTTGTGTTTTTACTTATTCTTTGCCGTTTTGTGCTTGGGAGTGCTTCCCGTTTACCTTATTAGGCTCACCTAGGGTGAGTGGGGTTGAATCCCCATCTTTTTGGGTTTATTCAGTCAAATAAACACTAGAACAAGAGTCCCAAGTTCTCGGGAAGTAGAACAACTCCTGAAACCCTTTCCGGGCATAGGACCATACAATGTTCCAAGGAGCATACAATAGGAGCTCCAGTGCTCCAAGCAGCATTGGTTTCCGGTGGCCATGGTTGCCCATTATATCAGTGGTAACAGACGTAGTGTTCTCAGGCTTCCTACAGGTCTCATTCACCCGGCAGGCCCAAGAAAACCCTTATGTGGGAAATTTACCCACCTAGTTATACTTAATATTATATATATTGTGACGGTAACGCGTTGGTGTTCGGCTGTTTAAGGCTAGGGGTATGGCCTCGTCACATAGTTATAAAAAAAAAAATAGAAAAACTGGAACTTCGTCTGTGGTAAGGTAAGGAGAAGACACACAAACACAAGTAAACTTTAACAATGAAATTTTAATTACGTTAAATAAATCAAAACATGAAAAAATGGACAAACAAATTCTTATAATAAAATCAATCAATCAAAATAATAAGAATAATTAAATGACACAATGAAAAGTTACGTTAAGATAAAATAACAAGAAGTGCAACACAAAATTAAAGGGAGGTGCTGGAATATTGGCTTTAAGCTACCGCCTCTCTCAGTACACGCTAACGTCTAGCCGGGAGGAGTGATAACTGCGAGAGCACAGAATATTCTGAGGTCTGAGGTCGTGGCGACCCCAGACATCAAGTAGTATGGGGGGGGGGGTGGAGTGCAGTTGCAGCCCGGCCGGCGACCAATCAGCGGAGCCGGTAGCGATCAACAGGTAGTTTGGCGGTTTGAGTCTGAACAGGTGTCTCTGGCTGCAACGTTTTGCGCTCTGGCAAACCTTGGAGATGTTGTTGTCGTTGTTGGACATTTCTTCCATAGTAGTTTTATATAATTTCCACGACGTAATTGTGGAGGGAAGAGCAGGCTCAATCTCTTGAAGGAGATTATCGTCACAATATATATAAATTTAATTGTATACACACCAAGAGGATGCATCTTCACTCGTTGTTATTTTACTAAATTTAATAATTAATTAAATCAAGTCGAAGAGTTATAGGTAATTCTTTGTTTATTCTCTTAGAAAATTTCCCTCCGGCGTAACATGCCACATCAACAGAACATTATTGCGTGACTGAATAAATTCATGTCATCAAATAATTATTACATGTAGCCTAAGTGCTAGTTAATGCATAAATCTTAATTATAAATTAGAATTGATAAGATCCTAAATGGATCTAATTTAATATCCACTCCGTCTTGGAACTAAATAAATAATAATTGGTTCCTAATAATAGGAACGCTCCTCCATGCGAAGGAGAGTTAGCAATCTTGACCAGGACACCGAACAGACTTGACGGCTGGTATTGTGAGAATTCATTTGATTGTGAGTTATCTTCGTGTGTAAAGCAGCCTTGACCAACCTCGTTTACACATGGAAAGGCTCTTGCCCCAGTTCAGGTTGTAATTAATAGTTGAGCTCAATTTATTTGTTACATAGATACGTTATATAGTATCCACTCAATTTAACGGCCTCTTTTATACCGATCTGCTGGTAATAACGACCGGTTTGGGAGACCGGTATTTAGAGCCTCATATAATGGTCTGGCTGTCGATATTACCGAAGGTCGGTATTGGGTTTGTCTTAGCATCAGAGGGTCCTCACATGGCAAGCAGGCCGCCTACCCCTTTCATCCCCTCCCTCACCCTCACTGAACCTCTACCCCCACTGAACCTCTACCCCCACACCCTCACTTTCTGCCCCCCCCCCCCCAAGACCCTTCTGGGGAAATGGCTCAGTAGACTGCCAGCCAGCCAGAGACAGCCTGGAGAATCTCCATCTAATAAAGCATTCATGAAACAAGTATTTTATAACTTTTTATTATCCTAATATTATTACTAAACAAAATCTGCAAGCAAAAATATATATGATGTATATCCAGAATTAAATAAAGAAACATCTGGTTAACTGGGTCAAGTGTTAGGCTTATCTCTTCCCTTCCCCACCACTGACACACGCCCCCCCGACCCCCCCCCCCGCCATACTTCCCATACACACGCTGTCTCTGCTTCACCTCATCATCCACTGCTCCATCCCTCCATCTCTTCTTCCCTCCCTCCATCCCTTCGTCCCACCTTCCTTCCCTCCATCACTCCCCTCCATCCCTTCCTCCCTCCCTTCTTCCTTCCATCCCTCCCTCCTTCCCAGCTCCCTCCTTCCATCCAACCATCCCTCCCTCCCTCCCTCCCTCCCTCCCTCCTTCCTTCCCTCCATCCCTCCCCTCCTCCCCTTCCTCCCTCCCTCCTTCCTTCCCTCCATCCCTCCCCTCCTCCCCTTCCTCCCTCCATCCCTCCTTCCTTCCCTCCCTCCCCTCCATCCCTCCCTCCCCTCCTTCCTTCCATCTAAACATCTGGTTGCGAGCTGGTCCCTTTCCCCACCAATGACACCCCCCTCCCCGCAAACTTCCCATACACACGCTCTCTCTGCTTCACCTCAACAACCATAGCGCCATCCCTCCCTCCCTCCCTCCCTCCATCAATCCATCAATCCATCAATCCATCCATCCATCCATCCATCCATCCATCCATCCATCCATCCATCCATCCATCCATCCCTCCATCCCTCCATCCATCTCCATCCTACCATCCATCTCCATCCACTCCCTCCTTACCTACCACCCAACCCCTCTCTGCCTGCCTGCCTCCCTCCTTGCTGCTCCCTCCCTACCTACCACCCAGCCTCTGCCTGCCTCCCTCCCTCCCTACCTACCACCCAGCCTCTGCCTGCCTCCCTCCCTCCCTACCTACCTACCACCCAGCCTCTGCCTGCCTCCCTCCCTCCCTACCTACCACCCAGCCTCTGCCTGCCTCCCTCCCTCCCTACCTACCTACCACCCAGCCTCTGCCTGCCTCCCTCCCTCCCTCCCTCCCTACCTACCACCCAGCCTCTGCCTGCCTCCCTCCCTCCCTACCTACCACCCAGCCTCTGCCTGCCTCCCTCCCTCCCTACCTACCACCCAGCCTCTGCCTGCCTCCCTCCCTCCCTACCTACCACCCAGCCTCTGCCTGCCTCCCTCCCTCCCTCCCTACCTACCACCCAGCCTCTGCCTGCCTCCCTCCCTCCCTACCTACCACCCAGCCTCTGCCTGCCTCCCTCCCTCCCTCCCTACCTACCACCCAGCCTCTGCCTGCCTCCCTCCCTCCCTACCTACCACCCAGCCTCTGCCTGCCTCCCTCCCTCCCTCCCTACCTACCACCCAGCCTCTGCCTGCCTCCCTC